CGTTAGCGCTATTTCCTGCTATAAAAATGCTAGTATCATTGGCAAAGAATGTAGGTTTCCCATGTTCTATGCTGGCCTCCAGGTCGTTTATGTATAACAGAAACAGCACTGGTCCCAGAATGGAACCTTGTGGGACGCCATAGCTGATGGGTCTCTTTCGGGAGAGGTAATTAATGTTACAATTAGTTTTTTTGCATCTGTATGTAATTTCTACCGCTTGTTCTCTGTTTTCTAAGTATGTTTCGAACCGCCTTAGTGTAGCCCCTTGTATTCCCATTCTTTCCATCTTACTTAGCATTATATCATGATTTACTAGGTCGAACGCTTTTGATAAATCCAAAAATATCTCTATACTCGTTTCTTTTTCATCTGGTGCTTTGTAAACCGTTTTTGTAAATTCTGTGATTGCTGTGTGTGTCGAGTTTCCTTTGCGGAATCCATGCTGTTTATTGCTGATTATGCTGTACTTATTTATGAATGATAAAAGTCTATTGTGCATAATTTTTTCTATTATTTTAGAAAAAACCGAAATTAATGACATTGGCCTGTAGTTCCCAACATCTGCAGTACAACCTTTCTTATACAAGGGTTTCACTTTTGCTATTTTTAGTTGGTCGGGGAAATAACCAGATGAAAATGACAGATTTATTATATATGTTAAGAGCATTTACTAGTTGAGGATGACATTTTTTAATAATGAACTCTAGAATATCGTCAATGCCCATTGATTTTTGTTACCCAGTGTTTCAGTTATGTCTGCCACCTCCCTTTCAGTGGTTGGGGTTAAGAAAATGCTCTTGCTGTTGTATTTTATTGTGTTGATCCTGTCTTCATTGCTGTATGCTGTCCGATTGTTACTCCAGATGTGATGGGCAATGTTTGTATAGTATTCATTAAAAACATTGGCTGTAACTTTTGGATCTTGTATAGTTCTTTCATTAACTCCTAATTCAATGTTCTTTGAAACTTTTTGCTGACTGCCTAATTCTTCTTTGATTAAATCCCACGTGGCTTTTGATTTGTTCCCGGATGAACACGTCAAAGCCCAAGTTACAATAAAATGAATCCAGAGGACATCATAAAGATATTACAACATATTTACAACCATTGTTGCAATAACTATTGATACAATGTTATAATTAAATACAACATGCATATAACACTTGCATTGCAACTTATTATCATAATAAAATACTTATTAACATTGTCAGTAATAGAGTAAAAGCATATATAAAGGATTATAGTTATCATACAATGAAAGTTTTAAAAAATGACTAGTGTTGTTTTATTTATCTGTAATTAACACAATCATCTCTTTCTTTCCATTCATAATACTCATCTAAAGAATAAAATAGTGTAGTGAAGTCTGCGAAACCAAGGTCTTTAATTCAGTGGAGAATCAAGAAGTAAGAAAACACTACATAAAGCAAACATCATCAAAAACGAAGCACAGGATTTTAATCATCAGAGGTAGTCATGGAAGAGAATGTGCATCCCAGGTAGTGTACGACCTGGACAGTGATTTTGAAGTACAGGGTATCATATGATCATAACTCAAATGGTTATGATGAAATATCTACAACAATTTTGAAACTAAGTTCCCCTTTCATATGTTCTCCACTAAATTATATATGCAATAAAATGCTGTTTCAGGGCGTAATCCTGGATAGATTAAAATATGCAGTCATAAAACCACTACATAAGAATGGTGACGTGTGCTATGTCTAATTATAGATCTGTATCACTCTTAACATAATTCTCTAAAATATTTGAAATAGTTATGCAACAAGGATTCTAATACATCTTACTAAATATAACTTACTAAGTAAGGAACACTATGGCTTCAGAAGAGGATTGAAGACAGACGACGACTATTATTATTATTATTATTAAAATACATTTCTTTGATCCAACAGTTACCCCGTAGGGCTGGATATAAAAACTGTCATATATCATGTCAGAGACAGTCACATGCAATAAAATACACATACACATTAAGTGTAATATGTAAACTCTAAAGTACAAAGTAATAATAAATCAAGCCTCTTGGAAAACAATACAAATTGTCAGTAAATAAAACATATAAAAATATAAAATAATAAATAAGGCCTTTTGCAAAAAAGCGCAAGTTGTCAATTCAATTATAACGAATTAGAAAGGAAAATATTAACTCTGTTGACAACATCAATCAACTAGAATTGATACAACTCAACTTTCCAATTCTTAGTTTAAATATTAGATGTTAAAACAATTGAGAACAGCCCTCTTGACTCAGAACGAAGACAGGACCAACAATATGTTTTGACTGACTATTTACTCAGAATTTATCTTTATGCTTCTTACATGGTCAACAAATTCGTCACTGGAGTAAAAGGAATTTCTTAATAAGTATCTTTTTAAAGCAACCTTAAATTGATCTTTATCCGTTCTTAACATTGAGACACTGTCTGGTAACATGTTAAAGAACCTAACACCTGAGTAATACACACCCCTCTGATACAACAACAAACGAGAAGCAGGCATATGACAAAGATTATTATTCCTGGTGCCAATCGTGTATATTGTATTATTTACCAAAAACTTGTCACAATTTTTTACAACAAAAGTCAGTAGTGATAACAAGTATACACAGGGAAGTGGCAATATTCCCAGCTTCTTAAACAGATCACGACATGAGTGAGTTGTACTTCTTTTGGACTTCACCCATCGTCCGGTATATAAAAAAGACAAAAATACCACAACGTTTCGGAGACTGGATCTGTCTCCGTCTTCAGGTGTATAAGGAAGGTTTAACCTACTCAGTTGGGCCCCTTAGAAAGAGCTAGTCTCAATCACTGGACAAACCTTGATCTGTAGAAACAACCTATGAACAACCGACAACCGGTTCCGTCAGTGGGAGGAAAGAATAAAATCGCAGTAAAAAC